CCGATGAAAGATATTACCTCCCCCATCTTGCCTATCATTGTCACTTGCAGCCTACACAGGCAGAAAATACACTCGCAGCTGCGAATCCATGGTGGTCTTGGTTTGTGACTTAGCCAGTCTCTCAGTGGAAGGATTCAGTTATACTTAGCAGGCTATGTTGTGAGTGGAATGGGTTAAAGCAAGTGTGGGGAACCTTTTTTGTGGGGAACCTGTTTTGGGTTGGGGGCTGCTGGCCCACAGAAAAATCAGTCGAGGGCTGTACACAGGTGAGAAGCAAAACAAAAACAAAAAAACCCCCACCCTCACTGACGTGGTTCATGACTGTGAAAAACACTCCCCAATTTCCCCTCACACACCCGACACTAAGGGGCCCCAAGCTAGTAGATTTTTGTGCTCCAGCCCCATAGCGAGTGGCGGAACTCAGTAATAACAATGAAATTAATGAAATTTGGACTAGGATCTGATCTTGGTTTTGATTTTGTTCCTGACACCGGAAGCATAGATCCCTTGACACTGTATCTATCACCAGGGAATTCTTATGGCCCCAATAAAAACACAACTCCAATATAAATTTAACCAATCTATTAAAGAATTTGAATAGTACACAGCATGTGATAACACAGAACAAATGAACCGCAGTACACCAATCCCACACCTTCGAATCAGAAGAGAGAAGAAGATAGTAAAGAATTCCGCAATGCAACAAGCTAAGTATTCAAATACTTTACAGGTGTCTGGCTTAAATGCAAGATGACACTTAGGCCGTGTCCAGACTCAGGAGTTTTTTCGGGAAAAGTAGCCTTTTCCCGAAAAAACTTCCCCTGCGTCCAGACTCAAGCCGCGTTCTTTCGAAATTATTTCGAAAGAACGCGGCTTTTCTTTCAATGGCGGTAAACCTCATTTCACGAGGAAGAACGCCTTCTTTCGAAAGTTCCTCTTTCGAAAGAAGGCGTTCTTCAATGTAAAGAGGCCGTCTTCGAAAGAGAGCATCCAGACTCGCTGGGTGCTCTCTTTCGAAAAAGCGGATTGCTCTTTCGAAAGATCCGCCTGCAGTCTAGACGCGATCTTTCGAAAGAGGCTCTTTCGAAAGATGCTTTCGAAAGACCATCTTTCGAAAGAAGCCTGCAGTCTAGACATAGCCTTATAGAACATAATGATTATATAGGTGAGTGCTGCTGCTGTGATGCACTCAGGGCCAGATTTCTGAAAGCAGCTAGGGGTATGTCTAGACTGCATTGCTCTGTCGGCAGAGGGTTGCAGATTAGGCAGGTTGACATTGCAAATGAGGCAGGGATTTAAATATCCCATGCCTAATTTGCATAAAAATGGCCGCCACATTTTGCCGACTCAGCAATTTGTCCGCAAAAAGTGGCTGTCCAGAGGGGAATCTGTCGAGAAAGAAAGCCTTTTTCGCCAGATCCCTTATGCCTCCTGCAAGAAGGTTTACAGGATCTGTCAAAAAAGGCTTTCTTTCTCGACAGATCCCCCTCTAGACTGCCACTTTTTGCGGACAAAGTGCCGAGTTGGCAAAATGCGGTGGCCATTTTTATGCAAATTAGGCACGGGATAGTTAAATCCCTGCCTCGTTTGCAATGTCAACCTGCCTAATCTGCATTCCTTTGCCGACAGACAGATGCAGTCTAGACATCCCCTAGGTGATCCCACGGAGATGTTGTTCTGATTTGGGCTAATCACGGATTCCTTAGGTTTCAGAGGGCTTTCACCACAAGGACCAGGCTTCCGGAATGAGGCAAAGGAACCTAAGAGCTCTGCTGGATGTCCCCTAGACACAAATCCCCACACCCTTCCAGGGAGGTTGTGAAGGGAGGCGCCCACAGCAGCTCAGTGATTCCAATCCTCCGGCAGCGTCTATCCTGTAGCCGGATGGTAGGCCTCACCCGAGTCTTCACCACGGAGTGACAGCAGGATGACCAGAAGCAGCAACAAGCCAAGGACCGGAGGACCGAGCAGCAAAGTGTTCCGGAGGAGCAGAGCAAGAGCCCCACCTCGACTGTCCTTTTATTGTTCCTTGGGTGGGAAAAGCAGTGAGGGTGCTGAGTGCAGTTTCTGTGCCAGATGCAAAATGTCCCGAGCCGTGTTCAGCGTAGTGCACCCCTGAGGTAATTTCAGCTTTGGCGGGAAAAACCGGCTGGAGCTGGTTTTCCAGTGCAGGGCACAATCCAAGATGGAGTTTAGTAAGACAAAATGGAGTCCATTGTCCAAGATGGAGTTTGTTAAAACAACATGGAGTCCATCAAAATAATAAAGAGCCTTCAGTCCTTACAGGGGGGAAAGAGGCAGGAGCACAAGCATAGGCTCCCCAATGCTGGGGGGAAGCCCTGAACCTCAGGGGTCGGATCCATGCAAGCCGGGGGCCACATCTGCCCCCCGGGCCTGAGGTTCCCACCCCTGAAGAAATAAATTGGTATTGCTAGCACAGACCACTGTTTCAGACAGGGCATCAAGAAAGGCAGTAAATGTGCCTGACTAGTTAATCAAATCTGCATTCACTTCAAAAACCTCCATTTGGCACCTGTCCGTGTTGGTGATAAACATTACTGTTACGGCCTTTGACCGGAGCAGTTAGCTCATTCGGGGCCTCTTGTACCTTGGAGTCTGGTATTTCTTGGGTGCCAATCCGCTAATTTATCAAGAATGTTCATCAAGTCCTTTTCCTCTGAACACAAGAGCAATCAAAGAGCAGGAGGGCAGTTTCTTAGTTCAAAGATCCAAGTCTCTTTCTGGTCAGCCCTGTACCCAAAGTTGCTCTCTCTCAGCTTTTCTCAGGCTATGTCCAGACTGCAGGCTTCTTTTGGAAGAAGCTTTTCCGGAAGAGATCTTCTGAAAAAACGTCTTCTAAAAGGCTGTGTCCAGACTCAGGGGTTTTTTCGGGAAAAGTAGCCTTTTTCCGAAAAAACTTCACCTGCGTCTAGACTGCAGCCGCGTTCTTTCGAAATTAAATCGAAAGAACGCGGCTTTTCTTTCGACGGCGGTAAACCTCATTTCACGAGGAAGAACGCCTTCTTTCGAAAGTGCTTCTTTCGAAAGAAGGCGTTCTTGAATGTAAATAGGGCTTCTTCGAAAGAGAGCATCCAGACTCACTGGGTGCTTTCTTTCGAAAAAGCGGCTTGCTCTTTCGAAAGTTCCGCGTGCAGTCTAGACGCCCTCTTTCGAAAGAGGCTTGCAGTCTAGACATAGCCAAAGAGAACGTCTACACTGCGAAAGCGCATTAAAAAAACAATCTGCTTTTTGGACAAATAGCATCCACACTGAATAGATGCTATTTTGCATGTAAGCTGTGATTGCTATGGATGGAGTGACCACCAAGGCATCTGTCCTTTTTCCTCTTCTTGCGAAAAAACTCCCTCTTCCCCGTCCACACACGCCTTTTTCCGAAAGAGCTCTTTCGGAAAAAGGCTTCTTCCTCATAGAAAGAGAATTAGCAATACCGGAAAAACCCCTCTGTTCTTTCAATTTACTTTCAAAAGAATGTGATTGCAGTGTGGACATAACTCGGGTTTTGTCCGAAAAACGGTCTTTTTTCTGACAAAACTATGTAGTGTAGACATACCCTTGGAGTCACGTGACCCGGGCTTCTGTGACTGGAACCTGGTGCTTCTTTGCTCCTTTCTGTCTCCGGTGGCGTTTGTAGTTCATCCCCGCACACGCAGTGGGGCGACAGCCGCCGCAGGGCAAGGTGTGTGTGTGTGGCCGGCTCTGTGCCCTTAGAAGGGGTGGGGCTTTGGGCAGAAGGGGTAGGACCAACGTCAGTCTGCCCTTAAGGCCACCCAGACCACGGTGTGTAGGGTTACCAGATGGTTTGAAAAAAATAGTGGACACACTTGATCTCAGATCGGGGGAGGACGGCACGGTGGAATGACTGGCCAGGAGGGAACCAGACAGCAGGGAGCGGGGCTAAAGAGGAGGAGTCTGGGGGGGGGGAACCAGCCAGAGGGGGAGCGGGACTGACCCGGACACATGTAGATCCCAGGGTGCTGCACAGTCCCGGCGGGGCACATGGGCGAGTCCAGTCCCGGGGATTTCATCCCGCGCTGGCCCCCCTCTACTGTGTAATTGCATACTGCCTGGTTGGTAGACACCCTCACACAGTGCGAGCATGTCTACCAGCCAGGCAGTACGCCACTACGTATTGATACTCATGATCATAATAAAAACTTAATTAGAAAATCCCGGACATTTTATCTGTCTGGTATTTTCTCAATTTGTTTCCTGGACAGAAAGTTCAAATACCAGACTGTCTGGTTCAAAACTGGACACCAGGCAACCCTAACGGTGTGCACCCTCCACCTTGCCCTGAAAGACTTGCGGCCCGCCCGGGGCAATTCAAAGATGCCCAGGACTCCAGGCCCCATTGCAGAAGCTCCAGATTTCTTTGAATCTCCGAACCCCGGAGCAATTGCCCCCTTTGCCCCTCCTCCCCCCGTTGGCAGGCCTGTGCGTGCACAAACACACGCAGCGCTCCAGCAGCCAGTCCTTAGCAAATCGCCTCTGCCGGTAGAGCTCAGGATCGGATTGGCCCGGCGTGACCTGTATTTTGGGTGGGCGCGCCTCACGCCAAGTACCCCCAACGGGGGGCTGCCAGAGGAGCAGTCATTTTGGAAAATACTGACCACGGTGCTTGGTCCTGCCAGGGCAGCCTTAATTTGTTTTCTTTCTATGCCTGGGTTGTGCTACACTCTTTAATTACAGGCTTGCATACTCATTTTCCCCCCGGCGTCCTGAGGCATTCAGTGCACAGGAAGGATGGTGCTCAATTAACCAACATTTCTCGTTAGCCTGAGCAAGGCGGGTGGCTCAGTGGGGCTGATTTTTCTACCCAACCTTCTGTGCTGTGCAATGATTGACCTAGATGCGGTGACAGTGTCACCTGCTTTGCAGCCTTGCCTGCAGCAATACAGTCCAGGAAAGACAGGCCAAGTTGTCACTGTGATGGTCTCCCCTTAATCTTTCCCCCTCCCCAGCCAGCTGCCTGGATTCTTTGCTCCAATAAAGGCTCTCATGATTTGGCAGCAAGCCTGCCTCGGAGGCTCTGCCTCTTTGCACCGCATTGGCTGAGGCTGCTGTTCATAAGTGCAGCTAAGGGAGGGGGGCCTGTCTTTCGGGGGGAGTCAAACAGAAGCAGCAGGAACATGACAGCTGTGCTGGAGGGAGGATTGAAGCCCTTCTGGGCCTGGCTGGGAGTGGAGTTCTACCGGGTTTTTTACCTGGTGGCCGTGTTCTGCTTGACCTGCTTGCTGTTGAAAGCCATTCAGCTGTATCACAGGAAGCAGGAATTGATCAAAGCGTTCAGAAGGTTCCCCGGCCATCCGACCCACTGGCTGTATGGCCACGTCCACGAGGTAGGCAAAGGGATGGGTTTGCACTTCATGGGGCGGGAAGGGGGTGTGATTTAAAAAGGAAAACCACACAAGGCAGGGGACAAAGGAAGAAGCTTCCCGGAATGGAGGTGGAGAGAGAGAGAGTGAGAGAGAGAGTATATACAGGAATCTTACTGAAATAATCTCTCAGAGGGGTAGCCTGTGTGTGTGTGTCTGTGTGTGTATACATACAGGAATCTCACTGAAATAATCTCTCAGAGGGGTAGCCGTGTTAGTCTGTAACTTTAAAAACAATGAGTAATCCCCTGGCACCTAAGCCACTAACCCAAATACGATACCATCAGATACTATATATTATTGAAATAAATATGGTATGTCTTTGTGAACTCTGAGGCTATGTCTACACAGCAGCTCTATTTCGGGACACTGGAGGGATCTCAAATAGCTATCCCGTGTCTTAACAGCAAGCCCGTTATTTTGAAATATAAGAGGCTTGCTATTCCGACATCCCTGTAAACCTCATTCCACAAGGAGTAAGGGACGTTTCGGAATAGCGGGTTATTTCGAAATTTGGCACTGTGCAGACAGCACCAAATTACGAATAAGCTACAGGCCATTCTCGCTATAAGTTACGTTTAAAAAACTTGGACTTATAGCGAAACAACTTAAAGCAGCGGATTTTTTTCCCCACAGCTGACTTCCATTTGTGCAAATTCGGGGGACGGGTTTGTGCAACTTACGAGTGGGGAATACGAGGACTTATAATGCATCAGTTCCTACAAGCATCAACAACTTTAATGCGGAATGGAATTCGCCAGGCGACTTATAGTGGGGACACCCTGTATTTCAAAACTGATTTGAAACAAATCGCATAGCTTATTTCGAGCTACGGGTGCAGTGTAGATGCATGCAAAAGGAATTCCTCCTTGTGCCCCTTTGGCTAATATAAATAATTGGTAAGTCATGTATCTCACTATCCAATGCTTGCTCTTCAGTCATTACCTAAGGAGCATTGTGTATATAAGAACATAAGAACGGCCGTACTGGGTCAGACCAAAGGTCCATCTAGCCCAGTAGCCTGTCTGTCGACAGTGGCCAGCACCAGGTGCCCCAGAGAGGGTGGACCGAAGACAATGATCAAGCGATTTGTCTCCTGCCATCCCTCTCCAGCCTCTGACAAACAAAGGCCAAGGACAGCACTTCATCCCCTGGCTAATAGCCTTTTATCGACCTAACCTCCATGAAATTATCTAGCTTCTCTTTAAACTCTATTATAGTCCTAGCCTTCACAGCCTCCTCTAAAAAAGACACAGGCCAGTTCAAAAAGCACAACAAAAAAATAATGGTTAACTGAGGGCAAAAGAAGAGGACACATCTTGTGTTCCCGGTAAGCTGCGTGCTTGTGCAGCCACTCAGGAGCAATTCAAATGCCTCCTGGCTGATTAGCAGAGCACCCACAGCTAGGTTGCAATATTTCTGTTGGTGGTGCCCATTTGCACATGCTTTGGTGCACATAAAATGTATTCTGCACATGGATGGGAAAAATCCACACATGGATGGAAAAGATTAGAGGGAACGTTGTTTGTGATGCCTTATGGGTTGGCTCTTCACCCACTGCAAATGAGAATACTTCATTAAAACCAGGACATCGACACTGATTTACACCCACTAGCCCCGGGTCTCTTCTGGTTTGACTAGGGAGTGAACTGAGAGTGAAAAAGCTGCAATGCTGTCCATGCGGTATGTCCTTTGCAGAAGGGCAGAATGCACATTAGAATCAGTTTTCCATACATGGCAGATAATGAGGCTCTGGCCTGTTGGTAGAGTTTCATTGAATCCATTGCCAAATGAAATGTATCATAGAATCATAGAATACTAGGACTGGAAGGGACCTCGAGAGGTCATCGAGTCCAGTCCCCTGCCCTCGTGGCAGGACCAAATACTGTCTAGACCATCAAGTAGCAGTGATCAGTTTGTAATGTGCCTGCACAAGCTACATATCCCACGCTCCGCAAGTCAGCACTGATTGTCATGGACCAGGGCATGAGCCATCAGGCTTTGTTGTCGGAGCAGCAGTGGTGAGGCCTAGTGGTCATTGCAGGAATCAGAGGCCGGGCACAGTGCTGGGGATGGGGAGGTCAGACCCAGAGCCAGAGATGGCGGCAACAGTCCTGGATCAGAGCAGGAGGGTGGGGACTTGCAGCTGGAGATGTAAACACTGACTAACCAGCAACCTGCTACAGCTGCTAAACTTAAATGCAGAGATGGTGGCTTCTGGCAGCCGAAAGGATGGGCTGGCCCATCAGGTGATTCTGTCGTAGCCAGGACTGTCCCTCGTGGGGTGTGGGCTTGGGCAACCCCCCAGCGGCAGGCCCTGCTCTGCTCTGTTCCACCCCACCCCCACTCTATCTCTTCCTAAGCCCCGCCCCTGCCCCAACTCCTTGCCCAAGCCCCCGCCCCCAAGCAACACAAGTCGGGATTCCCAGGGGGCCTGCACAGTGCGATAGCAGGGGTCGTCCTCCCTTCCCCCTGCACTCACCGTAGCAAGGGGAGCTGGAGCATCCCGGCAACGTGCTCCGCTTCACCACACCACCCTCTCCCAGCCTGCTGCACTCCGCTTCTTCCTGAGGGCAGGGTGCTCTGCTTCCTGCCACTGCAGTGAGAGCAGGCTGGGGGAGGGCGGTGGGACAGGGCGTGGTCTTACCCCCATGGCAATCAGTGCCAGCACCTGGTCTTTAATTATTATCTAGTGAAAGTCTGTTCTGAGTCTGCTCCACAATGCAAAGTGCTTACGAGCTCGTCATGTTTGAATTCCAAAGTTCAGTGTTTCTAGGTTAATGAGAAACGAGGGCTTCCTTAAAGCATCAGAACACGCGTGAATCTGACATAGGATGATGCCTCCTTAGGAGATATGGAACCCCTGGAAGTCCTATTAAACTGGTACCGCTGAGTCCAACAGTAGCTGGTGAGGGGGCAATTTTTTGAGAGATGTGATTGTATAAAATTTAGCAACACACTAGTGAAATACAGGGTGTCCCTGCTACCAGTCGCCCTGGTATACATCCGTTCTGCACTAAAGTCATTGACACTTGTAGGAACTGACGCGTTATAAATCCTCCCATTCCCCACTCTTTAAGTCACACAAAAAAACACCCCCAAACACCCCAATATGCACAAATGAAAGTCAGCCACGGGGAAGAAATTCCCCACTTTAGGTTGTTTTGCTATAAATCCAAGATTTTTGGTATGTATCCTGAACTTATAGTGAGGACGGCCTGTATTTTAAACTAAGGCCCTGTCGACTCACACAGTAAATCCAGAAACAGATGGTACATACCTGGGGTTGGAAAATGCTTGCTAAGTGGCTTCATTACCCGTTGAATGGCTCTTTCACAGGCTCTGTTAATAACTTAAAAGTGACAAAGCCGGCCAGAGCTAACTAGATATTGTCTGGCAGAAGCAGGGCCACTGAACATGGGAAAGAAGAGGTGGATATTAAGACCCAGTGGTGCCCCAAATTTTCAGGTGCCCTATGCCAGCGGTTCCCAACCATCAGGCCACAGCAGCTCTGGAGGCTGGGGATAAGGTCAGGGTTCCCTGTAAGGTGCATGTAAACGAAGAATTTCAGTCCCGCTGACCCCATCAGCTGAGCCTTGTTGCCACAGCCCCAGCTACTTCCAAGGGGTGGGGCTGCCCCAGCCTTCCCTGTCCTGCCCCCCTAG